TGTCTCCATATTTTTACCCACTTATATATATATATATATATATATATATATAAGTGGGTCGTGGCTTGATGACCATGGGAAAATGTGGGTCCATGACCAAACCAGTTGAGAATCACTGGTGTACACAAAAATAGATGGTGCTGATGGGAGTATATCAACAAACAGTGAAGCATAGATATCTAAAATAAACAAGCGTGAAAAGTCAAACTTGATCAGGAGCACATGCCTAAATGTGGTATGATTTAAGCAGGTTCACCGTGGAGGAACTGCGGCACACCACACACATGTGAGTAGTTGCAACAGATACAACCACATCTGCATTTCCTGGGCTTGCAAGGCAGAAAAAAAAAACGAGTATTAGTATAAATAAATATTTTACTTCTTAGGTAAAATTAGGTTTTAGAAGTTGATTCTGACAGCTTTAGATGCTGAAATATATGCAAGGAAGAAGTATACAAACAGTATACCATAATTCAGTATACAAACAGATGTAGAAAGAAGATAAATTGCGATTATTATATATGCAAATGTGATGATGTTGTTCGGAAGCAGGCAGGCATGCTGACTGGTTTACAATAAGCATTTTTAAATAAGAGTTTATCTTTTGAAATGTTTGCTTTATGAAATAGCTGAATTGGTTGAATTTGATAAGTGAAAGCTATTTTTGATGATTTGAGGAAAGAGCACCTTCTACATTTGTTTGTTTTTGAACTTTCAAGTAGATCGGACTAGTTAATTTTGTTTTACTAGTAAATAAAATAAAATAGTAAATGCTAATAAAAAGATTGGAAATAAAATAAAATTATAAAATATAAAATACAATCCAAATAGCACCTACAGGATGAAATTGCCTGCACTACGAATGTGAGTTACCAGTTCATAGGAGAAATTCTCTGGCACTGTATTTCCATACTTCAGTGAATGATAAACGGCTATGCATGGTTATGAAGGTGTGAGGGAAGATGTTCTCTCAGGTGGTCCTCTGATGTTTTAGAACACAATGATTTCCAGATGGCCCCCCTGCTGGCCATTAAAAAACCATAAAAATGCCTCCCACTTACAGTGAGTCATGGCCAAATCAATACAAACTCTCCATCCTAAGCAGGCTATTTCAAGTGCAGCACAACAGGAGGAGGAGAAGCCAATTAATTAGTGCTAAAGCTTCACTTCCTATAGAGGATTAAAGGAAACTGCACAGCGCATGGGGAAAAAAAACATACCTGAAGGGTAATATGTCATTGTGAAAAGTTGTTAATGAACTTAAAAAAAAAAAATCCAAATTCAGGATTTGTAATGTGTGCTGATAAGCTAACTGTTGATCCATGAGCTTCTACTAAAGTGGAGCATGTAGTGTACTTGGATTAAAAAAAATAATAAATAAATAAAAATGCAAAGGTGCTCTAAAAATATCTGAGCAGGTTCTATAAATGGTGGCGAGTTTCTTTTTCTTCTGCTGACTGCACTACAAGAGGTCCGGAGGGAGGGTCTAGTCCTACGCTAACTTCTAACAGCTAGACTAGAACGGGAAACAGAGGCATGTTCAGGGATTCAGATCAGCAACTTCACTGAGCACACAGCTTACATTCAGCCAAAATGTTTTTTTAATGTGAGGACACTTGAACATCAAAACATATTCAAATGTCTTCAATGTCTTGCCTTCAATTTGGTACAGCTGAATATTATTACACAATATAGTAACAACAAACAAAGCAACACATTTCAGCAGACGAAATACAGTATCTCTGCATTTCAGACGTAAAGCATCTGAAAGAAATAGTTTTATCACTTACTAACAGGTAAGTTTCAGTTTTTTTTTTCCCTCTATTATTACTATTAATATATAAGTAATCACATTCCTGCACAAATGTGTTTCATGAAAAATGACAATACGTCTCTGGGATCTGGTCATAAATAATAAAACCAATACAAACGAAATAAGTTGAGGTAACAGGGGCGATACCAGCAACGCACACCTAGCGAAATGACATTGACCTGTTAAAACCAGACAAGGAATGCACATGCTTTTTGTGTACAATATCAGAGACGGAGCCTCAGTGTGTTAGAGGATATCTTGGTATCCTTTTAAAAAGCTCTATGCAACAGAACCAGCACAAATTCTTCAAAAAGGGAAATATCTCAGAAGAATATAGTTGCTTAGCCACAGCTATGTTTAAATTACTGTTTGATAGTGCATGAGTCATTCATTCGTGTTGCTATTTAAGTGATACTGATAACACCTTCATTATCCATTATCCCTTACAGCTCTTCAAATGACCGCTTGGTATGTAGTCAGAGCACGTCCTGCTTACATTCATAAAATGTAAACAGAAACCACAAACGTTTACATGGTAAAAAAGAAAAGAAAAAGGAAAAGAAAATGCATGCTGCGCACGATAATAGATACTAGTCAAGTAACAGTGTAGTTGTGTGTTTTTTTTTTTTAACCGTTCTGTGGAGTTTGGTGGGGTAGTTCAGTGACATTTATTTATCTTTTCGGACGGTCAATGTCATCGATAGCTGCGAGGAGTTTCTGTCGCGCTTTCTTGTTGATGTGGGACCCGAGGCAGACGTTGACCAGGTTAGTCAGCTGCTTCATAGAGTACTCCTGCTCAAACACAAAACAAACTGGTGATAAATCTCTACTGGAGATGGCTTACATAATTTTAATGAGGAATTAAAGCCGGCCTTGCATGACATGCTTTACTAAGCAGCATCACAGGGCCTTTTTTTACATTTAAATAGCAATCAATTAGTGCTGCATGACATATAGAATTTTCACAATGGTTTTGATGGTGATATTAAATTAAATTAGCTTTGAGATACTGTCATTTTGACTAAAGTTTTAAGACAGGGATGTTTTAAAAAGATCTCTAATTTAAATTTCAGAAAGAAATGTTGCCAGGTTGGGTAAGTTTGATTCATTTCTGTGAATAAGATCAAACATATAATATTTAATATTCTTTAGTTTATTTAGCCTTGATTGCTTTTGATTTGATTACTACTGATGTGCTTTTTACTTGATTTTACTTTTTAGCAATTTCAAAGCATTTGGCAATTTGAAAGTATGAAATCCTTTTAGCGCCTTTTAACAACCTGTCTACATTGTGTTGTCAGCTGTCATCCATCTTACCCTGTGGTTCTTGATGAACTGCTCCATGTCATTCTCAGTAAGGTAGTATGCTTTGATGTAGGTCTCTACGAACTCCTTGTCTGGAATTGGTCTGAGGTCGGTGAGCTTCTCCAGCTTCATCAGGAACTGCTGGAAGTCCAGCTGCATCAGCGCACGTCCTTCATTACTGCATTTCTTCACATTTGCATAGCTGGCAGAAAGCAGGAGAGAAGGAGAGCAGAGGTGAGTGCGTATCAGACAGATGAAGGGCATTCATTAACTGTTGACAGTTTATGGTACATTAATTGTAGAGACAGTCCCCCACAGTAACCTCTGGTTAAGTGTCTCGCTCACGAGAATGGTGGTGCTTGTAATTCCAAGGGTTACATGTAACCTTATGCTCTATCACTGATGGAACATGGAACCTCACTAACCACCATAATGTAAATGGAATGTCAATAAGAATACATCAATAAACAGATAAATAGAGCAACAATGCAGTGCAACAATTGCTTCTCCCCTTCTGAATGTAAAGACATAATAAAAGTGTTAAAATATAGGGGTGCATACTCATAAAATTATAAATCTGGTTTTCAGCTCTAGACTGTGGGATATGGCACAATTCAGCCTTTTGACTGGTAAGAGACACCAAATGCTGAGGGCCATTTTTGGTCAAATTTGTCATTTGTTCAGTTTGCCACATTTTGATTTGTCCAGCTCGTGAGTCTCGGTTGCAGACCTGAGCCCTAAGCATCCAACACAACCAAACCATCGATTACAGTGTAGCTGCATCCAAGGCAAACAAGCATCCATGCGGAGTTCAGTGCTGTTGACACCCCGGTTTACTTTTTGGCTGACAGCGGTGTAATCACTTTCTGTAAGGGGAAAGATATTGTTGGGCCTATTGAGTATAGTTTATTTAGCCTTGATTGCTTTTGATTTGATTACTACTGATGTGCTTTTTACTTGATTTTACTTTTTAGCAATTTCAAAGCATTTGGCAATTTGAAAGTATGAAATCCTTTTAGCGCCTTTTAACAACCTGTCTACATTGTGTTGTCAGCTGTCATCCATCTTACCCTGTGGTTCTTGATGAACTGCTCCATGTCATTCTCAGTAAGGTAGTATGCTTTGATGTAGGTCTCTACGAACTCCTTGTCTGGAATTGGTCTGAGGTCGGTGAGCTTCTCCAGCTTCATCAGGAACTGCTGGAAGTCCAGCTGCATCAGCGCACGTCCTTCATTACTGCATTTCTTCACATTTGCATAGCTGGCAGAAAGCAGGAGAGAAGGAGAGCAGAGGTGAGTGCGTATCAGACAGATGAAGGGCATTCATTAACTGTTGACAGTTTATGGTACATTAATTGTAGAGACAGTCCCCCACAGTAACCTCTGGTTAAGTGTCTCGCTCACGAGAATGGTGGTGCTTGTAATTCCAAGGGTTACATGTAACCTTATGCTCTATCACTGATGGAACATGGAACCTCACTAACCACCATAATGTAAATGGAATGTCAATAAGAATACATCAATAAACAGATAAATAGAGCAACAATGCAGTGCAACAATTGCTTCTCCCCTTCTGAATGTAAAGACATAATAAAAGTGTTAAAATATAGGGGTGCATACTCATAAAATTATAAATCTGGTTTTCAGCTCTAGACTGTGGGATATGGCACAATTCAGCCTTTTGACTGGTAAGAGACACCAAATGCTGAGGGCCATTTTTGGTCAAATTTGTCATTTGTTCAGTTTGCCACATTTTGATTTGTCCAGCTCGTGAGTCTCGGTTGCAGACCTGAGCCCTAAGCATCCAACACAACCAAACCATCGATTACAGTGTAGCTGCATCCAAGGCAAACAAGCATCCATGCGGAGTTCAGTGCTGTTGACACCCCGGTTTACTTTTTGGCTGACAGCGGTGTCTACTTTCTGTAAGGGGAAAGATATTGTTGGGCCTATTGAGTATATCCAGTCTGCCAATATATCCTTCTGTTTCCCTGCCTCCTTCCTTCTTCCTGTCACGTTCTGCTTGATGGCCGGCAATGATTTGGAATGCAACTCGGCGCTGCACTGGCGGAGTCTACTTGCAAAAAGAGTGGCTGAAATGGCTATCAGTAGAATCGGTGCTAGGATGAATTAGCTAAGGGGCCATTTAGATTTTGAAAGATTTTTTCGAAATTTGTCTCGTTAATTACATGTAATTCAGTTCAATTCAATTCAATTTCATTTTTATTTATAAAACACATTTAAAATCAACCTTAGTTGGCCAAAGTGCCGTACATAAAATTAAGAGAAGAAAATAATATGAAGAAGCACATGAAAAATTACAAAGAATTTAAAGCACAAGAAAAAAAAAAGTTTTTAATATGGATTTGAATTCGGCTAATGTAGGCGCGGTTCTGACAGACAGCGGCAGGCTGTTCCACTGCTTAAGATGACAATTTTTTTATCTGAGTGATCTAGAAGGATTGTAAATAACAATTAAATCAGAGAGATATTTAGGAGCTAGTCGGAGTTATATAAAAAATTGTTCTGGCTATTCCAAGCTCTATCATTGCAGCCAGCGGGTGTTGCAATTGAACAGTCCACAAGTCGTCAAATAAAGCGCGCACATCCATAATAAAACGTGCCTCACACGTTTTGCTAAAGTAAGGAAACTTTGCTTACTTTGCTCCTATAAACAAAATCGCGAGACTAGCATATCTCAGAGGTGCGCGCGCTGTGCATATGTGCTGCGTCATCTGCCGGAACGGCTTCCGCTTATGACAGATAACGGAAGTGAGAGAAAAGTGTTTATTACATTTGAAATATGGATATTTTTCTTACAAAAACGCATGGATTCACTACAGGAGGCCTTTATTCACCCCCCGGAGCGGTGTGAGGCACGTATATTATGGATGTGCGTGGTTTATTTGACGACTTGTGGACTGTTCAACTGCAACACCCGCTGACTGCAATGATAGAGCTTGGAATAGCCAGGACAATTTTTAATATAACTCCGACTGGATTCGTCTGAAAGAAGAAAGTCATATACACCTAGGATGCCTCGAGGGTGAGTAAAACACAGTCTAATTTTCATTTTTGGGTGAACTAACCCTTTAACAGACACGCGCACGAGGCAGCCATTGTAAGTCCGCAAGACCACAAGTTCACATGAAGTGTGCCATTTGGGACAGGGCCTGTGTACTCCGGTTCAGAAAGCTAGGGTAGGGCGAAAAACTCCATCTCATTTTCTCCTCCAACTTCAAAATCGTCCGATATCGTTGTTTTACCTTTTTTTTTGTAAAGGGCGTTTGACTTTCTTTGCAAATTCATTTTGTAAATACGTTTCGGTACTTCGCCTACGTCACGTGTGACCTTTCCAACCTGACTACATAATGCGTGAGGTTGAGCTAGAGCACGATGAGCATTTGTGGTTAAAAAGTACACAAATGTTTATTTTTTTTTTTAGAAAATGACTGATCCTTTTGCTAGATAAGACCCTTATTCCTCGGCTGGGATCGTGTAGAGCCCTTTGAAGCTGCACTGAAACCAGCCCGTTGGTTGCCATTGAAGTCCATTATATGAAGAAAAATCCTGGAACGTTTTCCTCAAAAACCTTAATTTCTTTGCGACTGAAGACAGAAAGACATGCACATCTCGGATAACATGGGGGTGAGTAAATCATAAGGAAATTTTTAGTCTGGAAGTGAACTAATCCTTTAAGTAGCACACAGTTTGAGTTCATGGAGACAGGCTTCCAATCTCTTGTATGCCAAATTGTCTTTACTTTTTTTAGGTAAGTAAAGTTGTGTGTCGTCCGAGTAACAGTGGTATAGTGGTATGAGACCCCAAATTTACTCATAATTGATCTCAGAGTTAGCATATATAATGAAAATAATAATGGTGCTAAAATCGATCCCTGGGGTACACCACAAGTGAGGTGAGGTGAGCTACCGAGGACAAATGAACACCTAAACTGAAAGAAAAACTGTTTGACAGAAAAGATTGGAATCATTTAAGTACCCTACCTGTAATACCAATGGAACGTTCAAGCAGAGATAAAAGAATCCTGTGATCCACAAATCTAAAAGCACTAAGGCTTGTGGTCATTAAAATATCATTAAAAACTTTTAAGAGAGCAGACTATGAAGGGCTTTGAAGCTGGACTGAAAAATGGCAGAAATGGAATTGATTTGAAGGTAATTCTGCAATTGTATAAAAACAGCTTTTTCAAGGATTTTGGCTAAGAACAGCAAATTGGAGATGGGTCTGTAGTTAGCATATATTGTGGCATCAAGTGATGTTTTTTTTGAGAATAGGAGTCACAGTGGCGAGTTTACAGCAGGCTGGAACAGTCCCAGTCAATAAACATTTATTAATGATATGCAAGATACCTGGGCTAACAATATCAAAGATCTGTTTTAAAAAACGGGAAGGAAGAACATCATGAGGGGTAAAAGTAAGTTTAAATTTTAAAGTGATTACTCTACATGTCTGAAGGGAGACCGGCTCAAATTCACTCCACTGTGAACAGGAGAAAGTAGGATCAGGTACAGGAAGTATCGAGGTAAAAACTTGGGCTCGAGTAGTATTGATTTTGTAAGAAAAAAAGCTAAGAAAGTTTTCACACTCAGAGGGAGAGGTCACAGATAAAGTCTTAACAGAAGGATTTAATAGTTGAAAAAAATAATAAATATAAATAATAAATAGTTGAAAAAAAGCGTTCTGGAGCAATGTGAGTTTTTTTTACAATGATATCGGATAAAAATTTATGCTTAGCAACCCTGACAGCCTTTTGGAAATTTTGTAGGGAGACATTCATCTTTTCAAATGATAACTGGATCATTCTTCTATCTATGTTCAAGCCATCGGCACTGTTGTCGTAACAATCGGATATCACTGTTGATCCAAGACTAGGACTTGTTTTGGGGATGGACAAGCTACCGAGGTGCAATAGAGTCTAAGATGCCGGAGCATTTATTATAAAAAATTTGTATCTGCTCCTCGACATCTAAATGTGATGTAATAGAATTGGAGATCAGAGAACTGTCAGTCCCCCAATACAATTCTGAGAAGACAGCATGAGAATTCAAGGTCAAAATATGAGACCAACGTGCTTGAAGTGGTAAAGTTTTAGGTGGAGCTGGAAGGAGTGCTGAAAAGAGCACTGGTCTGTGATCGGAGAGTGGAGTATCACAAATGTCAGTATCAGCCATAGACAAACCATATGTTAGTATAAAGTCAAGCATATGACCGTGACCATTCACCCACTGGATAACATTCAACAATGACAATAAATTTAAAAATTCCTTAGCTAAGGCATTGGCAGAGCAGCATACATGAATATTGAAATCACAGAGTATTAGAATATGGTCATGTCAAAACATCCCCTAAAAGGTCTGCAAACTCATTTATAAAATATTATTCCAATTTAAAATAATTTATTCCTGTGATGGCAAAGCTGAATTTTCAGCAGCCATTAGTTTCATCAGACATCAGTGTCATATTATCCTTCAGAAATTAATTTTTTGATGAAGAGAAAGTTCAAAAGAACAGCTTTTATTTGAAATAGGAAACTTTTGTAACGCTATAAATGTTTTAGACATTTTTGATCATTTTAATGCATCTATATTTAGTAGAATAGACTTAGTAGTATGTGTGTGTGTGTGATGATGATTATAAAAAAAAAAGAAAAGTAAAATCAAAGATAAAATGAAGTAACAAATGACACTATAAAGATAAAACTTAAAAAAAAACAAAAAAACATTTTAATGGCATCATTGCTTGCTGGTGGAGTGGTGATAAACATTGTGGATGAGTAAAAAAGGTCTCAAATTCAAATACCAAAAGATCATCCTTTTTTTAACAAACCATTTTTAATACACTGTACCACAGCAAGTTCAATCATAGATGCGAAAATGTATTTACTGATTTATTAATTTTTTTTAAAGGAGTTGCAAAACATTAAACACAGTAAAACACATTTTAAAGTAAAAAGCATTTTGTCTGGAGAGGGGGCACAGCCATAAGTCTACCCATGCCGTTGACCCTGGCTGCCAACGTGACACTCTGTGAACACATACTGACAGTAGGTCTATAGCTAGAGGCAAAAACTGTTGGGTAGAGTTCGTTTGTTCACAACTGACTTTTTTGGCATTTCATGATTATTATTAATGTTTAGGAAACTATCCCAGCGTTTAATCAGTTATAGGACGATGGTAATTTTCTCAGCTTTCAAAATGCTGTGGATGCTGTCTACCTGAACATGTGATGATTACAGAGAGCGTTAACTCCCTGTAATTGCAATCACTGTTCAGATTCGAACAAAACTGCACAGGCAGAGAAAGCAGCGAAGCTATCGGATACAGACTGCTCTGGCTACACACAGGCAGCCTCTTTAACACCTCTTTCAAACAACCTGCCCTCAAAGATTGAGCTCTGCCATTTTCAAACAAGTGGCCCTTGACCTTATGATGCAGATGTACAGCTGAATCCTGCCAGGAGGTGCTTGCCAATCTATGCTGGGCCATGCTCTTATAAACTATATATTTTGTCTTGGCAAAAAACATGCTTTTAAACAATCACAGTCCTATACCGAACCTACCCTCTAAAATCAGAGGATTATGACAGGTTGCCACTACTGAAACCCTAAATCTTACCCTAATTAGGGCTGGGTATCGAGTTCGATACTTTTTAGGCACCGACCAAATTGCCTCGATACCATCGAGTATCGAAAAACATCTCGTCGTTCGGTACCAAATTTCGATACCTAAGGGGTTAATCTCGTCAACGTCAGTGAGCCAATAAGCCTGCAACACGACAGATCGATCAGTGTTTGACATCCGCGAGAGCGATTCGAAAGCGCACGGAGCAGTCTGCTCTCTTAGCTCTCGTGGTACTGTAATACACCGACCGGTCTGCACAGTCGGTCCGCGTCAAGTTGAACACACCTACTAGTTAACACCGGTTACACTCAGAGATGTGGCGCACACGTGAGGCTGTAATGTGAATGCGTCCCAACCCCCTTAGATGTAAGGCTACATTTACACTGGTGCGTTTATGTTTTAAAATGAAAACGATCCTCGTCATACTGGCGTTTCCACTGCGTTTCAAGCCGGCTTTCCACTATCTCCGACAAGAGACAGAACGGTCATTCAGTCATTCATTTCCATTTCCAATGGAGAGTAGCGAGGGAGCTGCATCAGGAACCGGTATCGAAGTCAAGGTATCGGTATCGATATCGAAAATGTTTGAACGATACCCAGCCCTAACCCTAATATCTGATTCATTAATTGACAAAATATATAATTACCATATTGATTATCTACCTATATAAGGTTAATAATTTATTAGTATTGGTCGATAATAGATTTTAAATTGTGCACTTCCCCTATTTTGATATCTTACATTTTTACACTTGCCACCATCTAAAGCTCACTTAATTACATTGTTAAAAGAAATCTTTACACATTTCAAAATTAATATGCATTTTTCATAATGTACATTATAATGTCCTGGTGTCTATATTCACTTGTAGTATTTTAAACAGTTGATTGTGTGTGTTTTTTTTTTAATGTAGATTGTTTTGAAACAACCCACTTAGCATTGTTTGGGAGGCAGACACACTCTGTCAGTTTAAATCTAGATTAAACACCCATCTCTTTAACCTGGCATACACATAACATACGATCACTTTTCTATAATTCAAATCCGTTAAAGAATTGTTAGGATGCATTAATTTTGTCAACCGGAACCGGGAACACTTCCCATAACACCCAATGTACTGTTTACATTGACTAATATTAGCATAGATGCCATTCTTCTTACAGTTTCATTTTTATTCCGAGATCACCGTAGCCACCCAGATCCAGTCCGTATTCAGATCAGATGGTCACTGCAGTCACTTGGATCCAGTCCATATCCAGTCCAGATGGTGGATCAGCACCTAGAGACGACCTCTATAGCCCTGAATGTCAGCGGACACCATGTCAACTAGACGAACCCTAGAGACAGATCCCCTGTGAAGACCTCATCAGCCATTGGCTCAAGACCACAAGAACCAAACGAGTCCTCTGCTCAATCTGACGTGTGTTGCAGCCTGGAATTAAACCACACCATGCAGGTTTCGTCTGGCCAGAGGAGAACTGGCCCCCCCCGACTGAGCCTGGTTTCTCCCAAGGTTTTTTTTTTCTCAATTTCTGTCACCGATGGAGTTTTGGTTCCTCGCCACTGTCACCTTTGGCTTACTTAGTTGGGGACACAATTTCTGGAAACATTGTTGGCTTGACAGCACAGACACTATTGGAAGAGAACTGAACTGAGCTGGATGATGACATCACTGAATCAACAATGAACCGACTTTAACTGATAAACTGACTGTTTTCTATTGTCCGCTTGCATTATCAGCACACGCTTCTCCTGTTTAACATTGTAAAGCTGCTTTGACGCAAACTGTATTGAATAAAGCGCTATATAAATAAAGGTGACGACTTAAAACTTTAGCAGCCATTACTCCAGTTTTCAGTTTCACATAATCATTCATAAACTGTTCTAATATGCTGATTTGGTGCTAAGGAAAAATTCCTTATTAAAAGTCTTATTATCAATGTTGAAAATTGTTGTGCTGCTTAATATTACCTATGCCTTTGATGAACAGCTTTTATATAAAATATTACTTTTTATGTATCAAATAAATGTCTTGAATGTTACTTTTGATCAATTGAATGTGTCTTTGCTTTAAGGTCCTCGGGGTTTTTGACTCTTAATGTGCACAGCTTTGTACACACGGAGTACGCAGACTGTACAGAGGACCCACTACTAAGGAAGGCATCAAATGGTGATTTTAACCAAGGCACACATTTGGCCAGAGGTGGCCCATATGAGACTGAACAATACAGGAACGATGAGTTTGTAGAAGATTACCTAGAGATATTCTGGGAACATACTGTCATTCCACATCAGTCCATCTGTCCTGTTGTTTTTACACTCTATTGTGCACTTGCACTGTGCTTTTCAGTTGTTTAAAAAAAGCCTGTTCATCTCTGGACAGTGTATGATTACTTCTTTATGCACTCCCGAGCTATAGAAATGAATAATCAATGGATTACATGACAAGAGAAATGCATTATTCTGATACATTTTATTCTCACATGTGACTAAATCCAGATGTCTACAGTGAAGCTTTACTATGAAGAACCTCTCTGAAGTCAAGAGGTGCCTGTCAAGTCATGTCAAATGTGCTCCCAGCAAATCTCCATTATGCTGAGGGGGTGACGAGTACAAGAGCTTCTCTGCAAGTCTGTGAGCGGCAAGATTGCCAGCACACTGAAGATAATATACTGGGGTAAGGAAAGAGTGATGGAAGACAGGTTGACAACAGCTCTCTGGAGAAGACATGGCTTCTAAGTTGCTTGTCGCACCGTGCCACACAAACTTCTCTGATGTTCATTTACAATAATCTGGCTCTCGACTAATGACAAGCAGATGGGTGCAAGAAGGATAGTGCAAGAAGAGGAAACAAGAAGGAAAAATAAATATGAAGAAATCAAACAACATTGATGGATTTATATATGCAGCTATTTGAGAGCAACAAAGCCATTCTGCTCATGGCACAAAGTCATTACACACATTTGATGAATCCTCACAGAACTAATGCATTTTTACATTATCTACAGTATGAACATGCCTCAGGAAAAAGGGAAGAATGGGGAAAAATACTCCTTCAGGTAAACACAATGACGAGAGTTGTTCCAAACACAAGATTGATGAGGCAGCTGAAAATCTAAGTGTTTCTTGCTTTAAATCAAACATCATCAACACGTAGCACAAGATTTTGCACACCCATGAATCCCCAGTGATAAAGGGTTTACATCCCTCAAAACAATTACTGCCAGCCAGGCCATACTGAAAAAGCCAAAAGCTCTTCTTGCTTGTAAAAACACTCCACAATTTAAGCAGAGGAATAAAGAACAGGAGAAACTAAACTTTTCATTCAGGCTTGCTGTTTTAATACATATACAGTAGCTTTGGTTTAAAAGCATCTGGCCAGTAGTACATTTGCCTTTTGCTTTAAAAGTTAATATATTATTGAAGTCATAGAAAATTAAACAAGTCTGCTTTAGGAAAAAAGGTATCTATCTATCTATCTATCTGTGTGTGTGTGTGTGTGTGTGTGTATATAGATAGATAGATAGATAGATCTATCAAGTGATACTGAAGACTGGAGTAATGAGTGTTAAAAATTCAGCTTTGCCATCACAGGAATAAATGACATTTTAAAATATATTAAAATAGGAAACAGCTATTTAAAATTGTAATAACTTAATTGTTTTAACCTTCTATGTCCATTAAAGCAAAACAGAAAGAGCGTGGACCAACCCAAACACTTCTAAGGTCAGCCCATCTTATAAGACTGAGCAACTGGATAAAAAGGATATTTGTAAGAAAAATTACCAAGATGCCAAATGGTCTACATGGAATTCCAGAGCTGCTTGAGTGAAAGGGGAAAAACTGTCTAGACAACAGCAAGTGCTTGAGCATTTGACGTCTTATGCCTCTTTGGGAGTTCAGCCAGAAGAAAGTCACTTTTGAGACAAGCCAACAGTCAGCCTGGAATTTGCTAGAAGCCATGTGACAAAACATGAAATCTATTGGAAGAATATTTTGTGGTCTGATGAGACTAAACTTGAGCTCTTTATCCTGAAAGTGAAGTGCTATGTTTGGCACACCAAATACAGCGCAATACCAAAAATACCAAGCAAGATGGTGACAACACCATATTCTGTGGTTGTTTTTCAATAGGAGGAACTGAAAACTTTGTGACAACAATTTGCCAAATATAGGCAAATCCTTGAGGAGAAGCTGAAAGGTAAATACTTTTTGTAAATGAGAAATATAAGTGGAGAAATGGCTAAAGGTAAATTTACTGGATAAATGTGTTTAATTCACTCTGGGATTTAAAAAATAAAATGAATTAAAATGAAAAAAATTAAATTAAATACAAAGCACTGTAAAACTAGTTCCATCAATACTACCAATGTAAAGTGGTATTACCATAGGAGGTCTCTGGCCATTGCTGGACTCAGTGGACCTGTATGTGATCCAACTGCTCCTGCAAGCTATTTTCTTTGTTTGGGAAAGCGCTGAGTGGTTTGTGATGGCCAGCATTCCAATAAAAACATTCTGTGGTAGGAGAGGTATCTGAGAGCAGGTGGTCTCATATACATCCACACCCATTTGGTTCAGCTTGGTAGCCCACTTACCCCTCCACTAATGTCCTGTTGGCCAGACGGATGCAGTGCTCCCATAAGACATTGGACACAGGTAGAGGAATCCGAACTATTTTCGACACATCTCCCAGTCTCTGGTTAAACTTCTCAAACTCCTGCAGAAAACAGTTGATGATATATGGGTCAATGTCATGACACTCATGTTTTGTTTGGATCTATTCATTTATTAAAAAAAAGATTAATAAACAAATATTGAAACATAATAAATAAAAACATTACAATTGGAATTCATACATGGAATGACTTGAATGCACCTCTTTTTGATTTCCAAATTAAAATATATATTTTAATTTGGATATATAAATTAAAATATATAAAATATATTTTTGTCATGGTTATAAAACTCTCCTGATACCACATTGAATATAAAGCTTCATAAACATAATATTTATGAATAAATAATTCACAATATTTGTAAAAAAAAAAACAAGTACTCAAGGAAAATAGATTACTTTTTACTTGGTCACAACACAGGATATTAAATAATATTGAATTGATATTGAATCAAATAGTACATTTCTAAGAACTTCGAATGTGTGTTTTAACCTAGATTGCTAAAAGATAGCTTCTTATAGGGGACACTCTTAGTTGTCATTGACCCTTAACCATTTTGTGTTGTGTCCTCCCTTGTGTGCAGTGCTTGCTGTTAACCATTCACCTTAACCATCACAGCATTCTTATAGGGTAGTGTTGGAACCATCTGGATGAGAGGTATTTTAGCATGCTGTACAAGTCCAGAAATCCCAGCAAAGGTGTAAATTAATCACAGAATCAGAGAAGCAGAAACAGCGGTCTATAAATGTTCACTGGAGCCATATTGGCAAACCAGGTTGTCAAACCTACAGGATTCCGGCTATACAAAGAAAGTAGTGCCGATGTCTTGATAAAGCCATGCCACGTACAAAAACCTGCACTGTATAAGCCAGCTGCTCACAGAGGTGTTGATTCAGCTGTGCTCGAGCCCTTTTCTCTTTCACTTGTGACAGGAAAACCCACCCATAACTTTCTTAACACAATGACATATGGCTCATTTTTGAGCCAAGGACTACATGCACTGTGGGCTCGCACCTTGAATGTTGATAAAAAGCCAAGAGCACTAAAACTGCTGTGCAAGTTGTCTGCAACCCTTTAATCTTCTGAATTAATTTAAAAAATATCCAGTTTATTTTACAACTTAGAAATATGGTTTTAAAAATAATGGAATAGTGATGGTGTCAAGATTACTGTTTCTCAGTATCTAATTATAATTTATAGTTCCTGCAAGAGACAGTATAAGAATTCATAGCAAGAAACTAATCACAACAAACATAGATCAGATTATTTGCACTAGGCCATGTTGATAACCATTAAAGCAATCCAAACTGAAAGGTTTTTGATTTCTAACAAGTCTTGCATTTGGGGGGCGGGGGTGCGGGGTGGTGGAGACCAACATTTTAATGTGCTTTTGTGCTGTGTGATGAAAAACCACACGAAGATTTGACCCACTTAGATCCTAAACAACTGCAATGTCACTTCTGAGCTGTCATTAGTATTGGTTAGAAATGGTCACAATATCAGTCTCTTAAATCAATTCACAGAAAAAATTCTTATTTAACCCTTTAGAGTTTGTGCAAGCTTTGGAACGGGTTTTGAAATTAGTTCTTAATAGTGAGGAATTAACTTCTTTTCCAACATTATCTATTATGGGGAGTGGGGTAAAGCGAGTTCTTGCCTGCTTAATCTGGCAAACTGCGCATTGTTCTAGGGACAAAGCTATATACAGTATTTAGAAGCGGCCTATAATATATAGATTATTGTGATTTAGGCGTTTTTTTAACTGCAACATTCTTTTTTCACTTTTTTTTCTTTTGCTGTAAGAAAAAAACCCATCCAGGTCTAAAAATAAATCTCAAATAAATGTTGATGAATTGGCTATTTATGAAAATCATGTAAATTATTTGTCTATATCTTAGCTAAACGGGTAGCTCTGCCAGATGCGTTGGGGTAAATTGTGTAAAACTGTGGCTTAACAAATAGTGGTTTTAACTGAATAACTTAAGAAAAGTCAAAGGGCTCCAGTGTTGTTTGGTCCAGATTGACTTGCATTGTTTTGGACAAAAACAGCTGGAAAATTATTTAAAATTTCCTCTTTTGTTTTCCACAGAATTCATAAAGGTTGAGAACGGCATTTAAATGATGACAGAATTTTCATATTTGTAAAAATTTAAATGAAAATTGAACAGCTTACTTTAACCCAGTGGTCACCAACCTGGTCTGAATGAGACGCGCTCTCTGACAGCAGGTGGCGCTTATGAACAGGGTTGCCAGGTTTTCGCAATAAAACTAGTCCAATAGCGTTTCGAGGGGGGGTTCCCTCTAAAAATCGCATTCCGGGGGTAAAATACACATTTTTCGGTTTTTCGGGATCTACTGGGACAGTGATAAAGATCTACCAGTCGATCGCGATCGACGGGTTGGCGACCACTGCTTTAACCTAACGTATAGAAATGAGAACCGGTACACCAGTACATGGCAGTTAGAGCATTTCTGCTCTATAATTGTAACTAATTGTGATATTTACTAATACATACAATATAAGCAAATATCATTTATGTGCCCAGGCACCTGGATGCCATTTTTTTGGAAATTTTAAATAAAGCAAGAGTTAATGTAAGTCCCTAGTATATTTCCACAGTTACATAATTAATTCAGTGAACTTGGCAAACCTAGACAAATTGGCTTCAACAAACAGACTTGGCACAGGGTTACAACGATGGCACCAGGAGAAACAGGCACAGCGGCTTCACTCAGCTTAGCGGGCGCACAAAGGTGAGCCTCATTTCTTCACTAGCAGCCAAGCTCCATTACATTCCCCACTAAAACTTTGCAGCTCGGATCAGGAACTTATGTAAATCCACATGATTATGCATATTTCTGGATTCATCGTGCTTCCTCAGCAAATAAGCCAAAGAGATAATTCAATTGTGAAACCCCATCTACTCACAGAGCCTTTTTTGTCTCAGTATATGCGTCAGCCATTCAAACCGCTCCCTAACTCCATGAAAAATTCATATAGGCTAATGAGCAAAGGTTATAGAAGAGATGTGGGCATGCAAAGGAATGAGACACCCTCAGTCCAATCACACTTAACTGAGACATGGGCTAGCTTTTTTCCTTTTAAACTTGCCCCTCAAATTCTGCATGTGACTCCCAAAGCCTGACCATTTAAATAATTCAGATCCTGACAAATAATTGATATCGTGATCTTTCAATCTAGAAGATTTCATGAGACACAGTCATTAGGCAAGGGGAAAAAATGGACGAAGAAAAAAATCTGCATGAAGAAAGTTAACTAGCAACCTTAGGGTAAACATATCAATCAAGCCTGCTCGTTGTGGGCATTAACTTGTTTGTTCGCTTCAGTGGAAGTCATAATTCGTCCAGTAAATTATAACATAGATGTAGCATTTCCATGCATTTGTAATGTGCTGCATGTGGAACAGCAACAGTGACAGGGGACAGTGACAGCTATACTGGGCTTTCATTCAAGAGTTCAAATCCCACGTCTCTCCACAGCAGCACCTAGAGAAGCAGCATTTAACCTGAATTATCTCACTTTAAACATGGAGCTGTGTGAGTGGGCATGGGTTCAACAACACAAGGTCCACTGCACATGACTACGCACTTAGACTTTATTTCAGTAAATCAGAATGATCTGCTGTGCCAGTGCTGCAATTCATTCAGAAATCAAATGTTTATAATAATGCAAAGTTGGCTTATGTATATATATATTTTATATTTCATTTATATATAATTATATATTATATTATTATTTGTATATATTATTATTATTATTCAGTATATACAATACCGTTCAAAAGTTTGGGGTCAGTAAGATGTTTTTTTTTTTTTTAAGTCCCTTATGTTCACTAAGGCTGCATTATTTGACTAAAATACAGTTAAAACGGTAATTGTGCAATATTCCTGTGTTGGCAAAGCATCATTACTCCGGTCTTCAGTGTCACATGATCTTTCTGAAATCATTCTAATATGCTGATTTGCTGATCAAGAAACATGTCTTATTATTAATTATTATTATTATTTCTTATTATTCTTCTGGTTAATATTTTTGT